TCACAGCTGTTTCTTGTTTCACATGTGAACCAGTCTGATAAAGACAGCAATGCCATGAAGTGTAAACACTCGAGGAAGGGAGACCAGACTTAGGATTGTCATTATGAAATTCACAGACTGCAAGGACGCCAGAGGTGAAGTGAGGAAGAAAGAAGAGGAGGGAGGACAGAACGGGGGAAGATTGTAAGGGAGGGAAAGGTCATAAAAAAAAAGAAGAAAAATCATAGGTTGAAAAGGACATACAAAAGGCAGAGTGAAAAAAAGTGAGAGAGAAAGAGGTAGGAGAAGACAGAGGCGGATGCACTACTCTGTAATTAAGAATGCCCTCACTTTCTGCAGAGTCCATTACCCTTGTTAGTCATACTGAAGGTTCTTTCGGGGCTCAACAATCAATCGTTTTTACATCGAAACCCTGACATTTTAAAAATGCAAGAGCTGCAGTTTTGATTACAGTTTACATTATTAACAACGTTTTAAGAGCTGAAAGTTTTATCTGGTGACTGCTGATTTTTGCAAGCTGAATCTTTTCACTAAAGAGGATTAATGTTAAAAACTATAAAAATGAAACTTTAGCCTTTTGTCTGATTAGTGTGCTCTCTACATGTCTAGCTAAAGCTAGCCTACTATATATTACTATCTATGGATTGGTGTGTATCATTTCAATAATGAGTGGTGAGTCTTCTTCTAGGTAAACAATCCAGCTGATTACATCACATTGTTTTCAGGCAGGTATTTCATGGCTAGCTAAAGGTGACTGTTGAGTGTAAATTACAAAAATCTCAAAGTCAAACCTGTAAGCACACCATGAAGTAGCTTGTTTTGTCAGTCTGTGAAGCTAATGTTGTCTTAAGAGTAAAAACTTTCAGGTATTAGTCAGGTGTCATTACGCCACGCCATTGCCACATGTCATTGCTGGGGGGGGACAGCTCATTCTTGACCTTAAAAATAGTAGTTTGAAAAAAAAAGAAAAAAAAAAGCTTTCAGCTACATCTCCTAATGGTCTTTATCAGTGATATCAGTCATTTGCTCAGTTGTCATGGAGATGGTTCAGCTGTCATCATTGAACAAATTCCATCTGCTGCAGAGGATGAATCCACGGATAAGAGATGCTGCTGAAAGCTTTGGCAGAAATCTAGAGGACCTTGATTTCAGATGTTTTTGTCAATGTCAGGCGTAATGTAATATCTTACTAAATGTGAACTGATTGAGCAGTTTTTCTACAGAGAGGCCACTGGGGGTTTACTCTGACACTGACTTTTCTCTGGTTGATTGATTTGAAAAGTAGAAGGGAGGACTGGTTTCAAACAACTGCATAATTTCATCTGATTATTTTATGGAAACTGTCATTCAGTTTGGGGGTAGCTGTTCAACACCTTGTATATCACCATAAAATGGAGATTAATCTAATAATGCAGAAAAAAACACATACCCATGGATACTATAGAAGCACACAAACACCCCTCCTATAGTCCCAGTCTCCCTATGCGCATCTGCTTGGCCAGACAGGTGAGCATCGGCTGAAACCCAAAACCTGGCTCCTTTCAACGATATATCTTCAATACTGTGTGTGTGTGTGTGTGTGTGTGTGTGTGTGTGTGTGTGTGTGTGTGTGTGTGTGTGTGTGTGTGTGTGTGTGTCTGTGAGAGAGAGAGAGAGAAAAAGAGAGAGAGTGAGAGAACCCAGAGTGAGAGAATGACCAACATTTATTTTTAGCCTTCAAGTACCCAGTGAGTCATGTGATCCCCCTTCTTCCCACTGATCCCTCCTTCCTTCCCTACCCTCCCATTTTTCTGTCTCTCTCCCACAATCACAGCTCTCTCTCCTCTCCCTCCTTCCTTTCACTTCAAAGTGAGGCAACACAGTGTCACAGTGACACGGGAGAAACACAGGAATAAAAACGATAAAAGAGGGAAGGGAATGCAGGAGGGAAGACAAATCTTTATCTTGCCTAATGAAGGAAAGCGAGAGAAAGGGGAACGATATGCAGAAAGAAAACATGCACACATACACATACTTATCTGTGTCTATCTATATGTGTAACACTGAGGCAGACTTGCTTACACCTTGGCAACAGCTATCATCTCTGTTACCATGACACCTCCACATTACAAAAATAACAATGGCACACCACAATTACTGCAGAAACTGTCCACTCTGAAGGAGGGTCAGTTACGAATCAGTGGACTGGAATGACATCAAGCCAAGAACAATGATGATGATGCAGTCTCTGCAAAACTGATGGTGATGTTATCACCATGGTTCACTTACAGAGAATTAGGGATAAGAGTCCAAATAAGATAAAAAATGGGAGTAAGAGAATGAAAGGCGTCATTAGTATCAACATCAAAACAGATATTATTAAATCTGTTGATTCCTCCCTCCTTGTGAATGCTTCTTCATTCACCCTATGTCACTCCGACAGTGCAATGTAATATTTCCACAGCTGCCTTCTCTAGGCCTTTTTTTATTCAAAACATCTTTACTGTAATGGATTCAGCGCTGCAAATCTACCCAACTGTTAAGACAAGCGGAAAGGGTCACATAGCCGGCAACGAGGCGAGTACACAGATACACAAACAAGGGCATTCACGTGCACAAACACACGCACACAAACAGATGAGGGATTACAGACACACAAGCACATGCACACTCACGTACGCACATAGCACATCACAAGCAAATACAAAGTGACAAAAGATAGCAGACAGAGTTATAGTGACAGCACATTGAAGCATGCATGAAGGGAAAGGACAAATATTCAAGTGCTGTGAGGGACGCACACACACACACACACACACACACACATACACACACACACCCACACACACACACACACCCACATACTTAAGTGTTGACTTTCCTCTCTTTCTCTCTCTGATTATCTGTCTCCCTCCCTCTGCCTCCCATCCTTATCTTCCTCTCTCTTATTTTCTCTCTCTACACTGCTTCCTCTCATTCACTGACTCATCTGCTGCTCTTAATGAAATGCTGCATAATCAGGATTGCAGATTGCAGGACTGTGATTGGTCCTATAGGCAAAATGCACACATGTACATGCATAACCAGAAACACCGAACACACACACACACACACACACACACACACACACACACAGTGGTGGAGGGGGGTTGGGGGGAGGTCATGATCCTTCCAGAGAGAAGGGAATCAGAGTTGCAATTCTAGAGCTTATCGCTGAAAGAGGGTAAGACCATATCTGACACGCCAGCATGCACGGTATGTAAACCTCTATACACACAAACACACACACACATACACACACACAGGAAAGAGTGTGTGTGTGTGTGCGTGTGTGCGTGTGTGTGTGTGTGTGTGTGTGTGTGTGTGTGTGTGTGTGTGTGTGTTTGAATCCGCAGACCCACATGCATATGTGGTGAGATAACCCTTTGCAGTATTTTTGGAAAATCTATCCCAGCACGCAAGTGGTGAGACACTGATCCGTCTGCCGAGGTGTCTATTACCGACACTGCATTCAGCAAGCGGGAGGGTCAGCATGGGCAGAAGAGAGACAGAAGGAGGGAAAGAGCAAAGGATTGGGTGAGGGAAGCGAGAGGAAAGCAAACAGAAGAGACACGCAGCGTGAGGGGAGCAAAGAAAGGAAGAGATAAGAAACAGAGCAATGGAGGAGGGAAGGCAGGGATAGATGGTGAGGTATTAGTGGGTAGAGGGACCTGGTGAGAAATATTAACAGTGTCTTGTATATCATTAAAAAAAAGAGAGAGAACAGATATGAAAGAGGAAGAAAAGGAAAATGCAAAATAGGGAAGAAGAGCAAATGCACAAGAGCAGAGAACATGGAGAGGGAGGATGCTGAGGAGGAGGGACACTGGGAGCTGCTGGAAAGGAATGAAAGGTAAAATACTGCAAAGGGGGGAGGGGGTTGCTTGTTAATACACACATACTACAGCACTATAACAAACCATAAATTTGCATCATCACAATCAAACTATAGGCAACATGTGCAAAACACCCAAGGTAATTTCCAATAAATTGTAAACAATGATATTTCAGTTAGAGAGCTCAGCTCACATCTACACTGGCCCGACTCCTTGTGTGGTAGGACAGCAGTCATTGGTTACCACAAGTAAGCAAACACTGACAGAGTACGCTATTGGCTGAAGAGAAGGAGGAACAGCAAAAGGCACAACACACCATTGGTTAGTAATCACGAATATGCTTTTGGCGGTTCCTGGGTCATTCGTGTGCTCGCACGTGCACATATGTGTGTATGTGTGTGTATAAGCTAGTGTGTGTATGTGTGTATGCGTGTGTGAATATGTGTGTGGGTCCCAGGCCTGAAGCAACCAGGCCAGCGGCTACAATTACAGTGACGGATGTGAAAGAACTGGGTCGGCTTCGCAAGAGATCTGCCCCTGGGACGACAAGACCAGCCAGAGCCCTGAATCAATACGCAACACATGCACACACAGGCAGGCAGGCAGGCACACACACACACTCACACACACACAAGGTTGCATGTGACAAACATTTACATAGAAAACCAAAGGACAGATATGAATAACACAAAACGGGACACGTACTACATGGAACAAAAAAATGCAAGCAGGCAATCAGCTGACATATTTTTCCCCTTTTCTTCTGTGAACACAGAAAACTTCACCCAAAATCCAGATGAGTGCCTGCCCCTGTGTCCCTGTCTGACTCTCTGACTTTCTCTCTCACACACACACACACACACACACACACTCACACACACACACACACACACTCACACACACACACACACACACTCACACACACACACACACACACTCACACACACACACACACACACTCACACACACACACACACATACACACACATAAACTTGTTCTCAAAGCCCTAAAGCCTGTTTCAGGGGCAGTAATGTTAACAGCTCATCCACACATAACTCAGTGACATTTGGGGCATTTTTTTTTTTTTTTGCTCATGTGTGTTGTGTGTTTCTGTACATGTTTACATGTGTGTTTTTGTTTCCTACCTCTGGCAGAAAGCTTCTTGGTGTTGATGATTTTGGCAGCATACTCCTGTCCAGAGGAGATCTTCACGCACCTCCTGACCACAGAGAATGCTCCCCTGAAATGAATACACACACAGGGAGATCAAAAAGGTCAATGCAACAATATGAAGTATGATCTATACCGACCAATGTACAAACAGACAGGTGTTTCAAAACAGGGGCCCAGAAAAGAAGTGGTTTATTTTAAAAAGCTTGAACCAGATTCTTTAAATTGAAAATGGTCTGGCTTCTTCTTTTTAATTTGCCAATAATGGGGGCCTGTGTCAAATTATCATAAATCTGACATTCGTTGCAGTTTGTGACTACAAGTCTGGAGGGAGATGTTTCCATGGTAACTTATTTAAAGCTGCTTCATAAAAAAGGGTTTTCTGATTTATTGAAATAAGCCTGGCTTAACAAATAACCTTCCTTTGTGAAACAATCCTCAGATGTCATAGATGACTAATTACAAATGTGGTTGAGCTCAAATTTGATCTTTTACAGTCACATTTTCACATAAATATACACAAAAGTCTAGATGCAGCAGCAATGCAGCACACAAACCCACTCACACACCACACCTACAGTACACATTGTCCTCATCACTACAGGAGACCACTAACACCAAACAAATGTGCCTACCAGCCCACTATTGTTTCAGCCGTGTTTTGGTGTGTCAGGCACATGTATGAAGATCAAAAAACTAGGTCAGCTATATTTGAGGGAGGAGAAGAGCAGAGTGCTGCATCTCTCATCTCTAAATGCAACCGTGGAGCGGTCCGCCTCAGCTCCACTCCGCTCTGCAGCCATGCAGGCCGCTTTACTATTCAACCTCCATCTCTGTCTATGTGCATGCCTCTTCTTTCAAATCCAATCTGTTCCCCTCAGCAGCAAATTCCCGTCGAGCTCCAGACAACATCAGAGATATCACAAACAGTTAGAAGCACTTGGATACAGACACGAGACAGACAAAGCTGAGAATGCTCATTACCTTAAATGAACCCTGCTCTTTCACTTACTTCACTTCTTATAGCTGACAACTGTAGCATGTCGTTAGCACACAGTGTTACATTATTTGGTTACAATATGAGAAATAACTGAAGCTCTGTGCCAATGTAATCACTAGCTACTGCTATGTGTATAGAAATGTGTATTATGATCATGTTATCTAACATCCTCTGGAGTGAGCAGCTTGCCACTAAAGCTTACCTCTAATTTATAGGGGATTTGGTAAAGGAAATGATCATAGCATAACATGTTACGTAAGAATTTCACTACACTATCCTGCATAGTTGAGCAGCATGGCACTGTGAAATGCATATGCTGACTGTGTCTGTAAAATGAGTCTGTACAGTCCAACATGATATAACGTACAATAACGGCACAGTTAAAGTACCTGTGCTTTTGTGTTTAAAAGAAAAGGCAACCTAGCCAGAACAAGGTGCAGTGTTAGCAGCCAAGGCCATCTGCAATGAGGAAGGTTGTGTTTTTTTTAAGTCAAGTCAAATATGGTTCCAAAATTAGATGGCGTACACTGTACATGACTAGCTTGGAACATCTGATTATGTAATTACATAAAATGCTTCTCAAAGATAAAAATATGTTTGCACAGGGATGCAGAGAAGGGGTCCATGGGTGACCAAAGGTCACAAACTGATATGACACTAAATATCATCATCTTGAGCACATTTTTTTTAAATAGTCATTTGATATTACCATTTTGAAACCGATGCTGATATGTCTTAGAAATCTGAATGATTTTCTCCTTTAATTTCACTGAAGATCACAGGAAATATAAAGTATGTTATGGTCCTTTAAGTGCTGAATCTTAATTTATCAGTATATTTTATGACATCCCCTTATTGCCTTTTTCCAACATTTTACAGCATGTATATAACTTTTGAAACAATAATCTCGGGGTGATTGAAACATTATCAATATCCCGGATATTTGGTCAAAAACAATGTGGCTAGACTGTATGTCAGTGTGAGGGGAAAACGGTGCTGCACACAGTAAAGGGATCAGGTGAGTTAAAAGGTACTACAAAAGCAATATGGCTGCATTATTAATGACAGATGGTGTAAGATGAACACAGGATGGATCACAAAGGCAGGAGGCTGAGGCTGCAGAGGCGATTTCCTCTTCCTCACTAGAAACACAGGCTTCCATCAGGGGCAGTGATGGGAGATCGATTCCTACAGTAAGTGGGAGACAGTGGGTAACTGGGAGTACACTTCTATCCACTGTATCTCTCTCTGCTTTGGCTGAACGTCAACCCAGGCTGCAAACATCTGGGACTGTGTACACTGACCACAGGGTGCTGGGCAAACTGCAGGTCAGGCAGTGCATAACCACATAAATAACCTGTACACATACACACATACAGACATGCATGTAAACCTCTAGACACACGCTCTTAAGAACTGGTACAATACACATCCATGAATCCATGGGCGCGCGCGCGCGCACACACACACGCACACACACACATGTAGGTACGTGCGGATCTTTCACTCCCATTCTCTGTCTCTATCTCTCAGGGGTGAGGAATTCCCTGCCTGTGTCTGATAATTGACCGCAGCTCGGTGCTTGGCTGGGGAATGTGTCATCGCCGACTACATGCTGTCGCATTACAGAGTGTGTATTTCTGTCACGCTGGGGGGAGGAAGGGAGGGAGGTGGGGTTGATGGACGGGGGTATAGAGGAAGGAGGTGGGTTACCAAATCTCACCATTTAACCCCCGAACACCCCACCCGATGCATTTCACCCCAGTTCAATTTACAACCCGGGAGCTCCTCGCCCTCCTGTGGCACCCCAAATGCCGAGATGCAACATCAGTGGCTGCACAGGATGGAGGCGAATGACGACACGCTCGACTCGACATCTTCTTTCGTAATCACAAAACGTAAGCAGGGCTACAAATGTAGCATTAAAACAAATAGGATGCCACCGCACAGGCCTGCATGATAGCCTACATGGTAGCGTTTTTAGCCACCCTGCATCATATGTTTCAAGGCTACACTATCAGCAGCGCGCGCAAGCACACTCACAAAAAAAAAAACGCACAGACACACACAAGAGCCCGGAATCCGCGTCCTTAAGCCAAGGCGGCCTATTACATAACAGGCTGATATTTCATACAGGGATGATGCCAGATGATAAAAAAAAAAACATGCTTCCTTACTTCCCCAGCTCCTCGAACAGCTGATATTCGTCGGTAAATCTCGTGCAGATCGTTAACGCCATCCTGAAGGAGTTGCCAAGGGGGTGTGCGGAGAAGCGGATAAGGTGCACTCACAAACAGTATCCACCACACACAGTCGTCAGCACCGCCCGGTTTTGTCCTGGACCTGCAAGCCAAACGGAGGGATTCATGCACAGCTGAAACGCATCGGCGAGAGCTCTGGTGGGATGACTTCTGCGGCAAAACACTGCCTGCGCGAGTGCTTCAGTGTGGGCAAGGGGGGCTTCCGGCGTTGTCGTTTGCTCTTTCTTTTATTTTCTTCACATGCAGCAGTTAGTCACAGCTCGTGGACACAGCATTTTGTGTGCATGTCGGTATGTGGCGTGTGTCCACCCAGCGCTGTGAGTGTTGTCTCTCTGCGCGCCACAGACGCCGCACTACCGCACCTACCCCCGGCTGTGGGCTCAGTCCCGCCCCTCTGCCTGCATCCTAACACAAGCCAGTAATAATAATAATGATAATAATAATAATAATGATGATGATAATAATAATAATAATAATAATAATAACCGTACAAGTTTTATTGTAAATATTAACAATAGTACCATATACGTATTTTAATATAGCATACCTTTACATTAAAGGTAAAGGTATGCTTTACATTAAAGGTATGTTATATTAAAATAAAAAAAGCTCCCAGAAAAGAAAAGAAAAGAAAAGAAAAGAAAAGAAAAGAAAATGACCAGATTTGTTTATTTAAAATGAAATTTACCATGCACACATACAGAGAACCACACTATAGGCTCTGGAGCTGGGGGCTAAAAGAAGTAGATTCATTAAGCATTCAGTAGATTGTTTATTCAAGCTAGGCTAGAAGATGTAAGGGGTTGTATTAATGAACAGTTTTTTCGCACAGTTGTAGCTGTTGATTTGTAGTGAAGTATCAATGACAACACCTTTGTGAGAATATTTGCTAATCACAGCAGCAGTAAAGTTGGTTGCCTTACTTCATTCATGACTTATAAGTAGGAATTCACCTGAATAGAATAATTTTGTGTGTAGAATAGTTCTGTCTGGTAAAACTATAGCATTTATGGCATTAACTTTTTTAAAGAGGTATGCAAGTCTGTGTACCTAATGTATCAAAAGTATCAAGACACAGCTGCAAAGTGTGATTTCTTATTGTCATTTCTTCAAGAACACCACGTCATATCTCTGTATAAATTGGCTGAGAAAGAGATGATGCAGTGTCTAATGCATTTTGTTTGTATACTCGAAAGTGGTCTCGAAAGGTTATTTCGTAAATGTAATTTACTGGATTACTCTTGTCCACAAGTCTGGCTGACCTCTGTAGTACTCATCTTCATTTAGACATTCCAGACAGTTCATGCTCCCTAGCCAACTAAGCAGAAGTTTAACCTGCCACTGCAAATGATTAATTTAATCTTAAACTTAGTCCTAGAGTTGCTCTAAGTCTCCCTTTTATAGTTGTTTTAATTCAATTCAGAACAGGCAAAATCCCAGACTACTTTAAGATAAGTCTCTGCAAGTCACTTTGAGTTAAGGCAGCTCAAACAGGCATTTTAGTCTGGGACTAGGTTTAAGCCTTGTCTGTGAAACTGGCTCATTGTCTTTGAAGTAAGAGTTGTTGGCTACTATGTGGTTTGTTCAGCCGCAGCTGTAAATTCTTCATGTCAAATGAAGCTATAATCCATCAAACTAGAAACTGGAAATAAAAACACAAATTTATAGTATAGTATTTATAATAGTTGTCAGTGTGACTGAACAAAAGTTGTTCCAATTTAAAATCCCAGATTAAGTTAAAATTTAAATTTGAACTTGTTTTCTCGAGATTAATTTAGGGGTGGACATCACAAAATTTTTTTCTGATTCCAGTCACTTCATTCAGTATCAGTTAATGTCTCAGCAACCTGTTATTTACAACAGCATTATGAGATTATGATTGTTTTAGTGGCTTGCAGGGTCTCTTAATATGCTTATATCTAAATTCAATTAACTCGGCAGAGGGGGAACTTACATTTTGAAGCTGAACGACCTTCACATTCACACAGAGGTTTATTTATCCATGTGAGAATAAACTCAGGGAAAGTCCCGATGGCAAGATAAACAGGCGGCATTATATGGTTTAGCTCTGTAATGTTGACTAGAGTGACGTAACAGTCCAGTAAGGAAGTACCAAGAGGAAGTGGAATTCAGTTAATCTGGTGCAAACTTCAAGCACTGCTTCATGAGCTTTGAATAACTTTTATTGCTAGAATATTGCATTATTAGTTGTTTTTGTGTTTTTGTCATTGGACAGTAGTTAATGATGTATATGTGAGAATATCTTTCCAATTACAGTGTACAGTGTGATTACAGTGATGAGAGATGAGAGTGATGATAGCGATCATACAGTGTGATTACAGTGTCAATTGTAAAATTATCAAGTAAAGCATTAGGGAACATATTTCCTTCAATTCATCTTGTTTACTTGGTTTTTTACTTACGGTGTATATTGTTGGTTATTTAGCTGAAATGCTCGATTGATATTGACAATCTCATCCTTGCAAATGACATATGACATGAAAGTCTAACTAATAATATTTATGAAAGACAAAATAAAGCAATTCCATTTTCAATTTCAAATGATCTTTTTTATTTTGATCAATAGGCCATATAGATATTATAGATACATTTCATAAATACATCAATAAATAATGCTAAAGACATAAATAAGCGACAAAGAGGAGTAATCTAATCTGTATTACTGGACTGATAGGAGCAGCCAAAATTGCAGAAAAGAGTTTTGGCTAGAAAATATTTAAGTAAAATACAAACAAGAACAGACTTGTTAACAAAATTGCATGTTTGATACAAACATAATCGAGTGAGTAAATTCTATTGTCCACTTCAACAGTTGATCAGGACATCAAGCAGACCCCTGGTGTTAACATGAAATGAGGGTGATGACTCAGTCATCTGATCAAACAAATACTTTAGGGTACTTTTCATTTGTCCATAAATGGCTCAGACTCATTGAAAGACGTCACTCGCCATCTGCTCAGCGTCTTCTGCTGCAGAGAAAAGAAACACAAAAGAGTCATTAGTTTGTGTTTCGAAAGCGATTCGGACATTTTCTGTCACATTATCCAGTTTAACTACCAGCTACTGTATGATTGACCTGTACTTACTTGGACATGATCTTCTGAATCACTTTCTTCACCCAGGGAGCCTCGGGGTCTAGGCAGACCTCTTGGCCTGTCTTTTTCAGAGTAGCACTGCAACACCAAACAAGATGCGGAGACGCAGTCAGAACAAGTAGACTTTGATGAAAACCTCATGCCAAAGCCAACAAGGGACAATGACAAAATTTCAAAGTACCAACAACATCACTATCTAGATGGGACAAAGGCTTTGAAATTAGGTCTTACATGATCTCAGTGTCCTCGCAGTGGGAGTTGGCAGGAATCAGTTCCACCTTTGCAATGTGGCGGCCAATGGGTTTGCTCTCTGTCTGGATGCAGCGGCAGTGCAGCTCTACTCCCAGGCTTCTCAGACTCATCCCTGTAAGGATACAGGAGTCACATGTGGTCACACAAGTGCAACAGTGATTGCTGGTATATCTACGTGCACTGTAGCAACAACAAAGTAGTGAGAGCTCACTTGCCGAATAACAAAATAATCTTACCTTCACTGATGGACAGGGAGGCCAGGAGCACCATCATAGCAATGACAATCACTCTGCTGCTCGTCATTTTGCCCTTTGCAAATTTTGCAACAACGAAACCAATAAAAGATAAAAATGTCCTTCAGAAAGCCCTCTGACGAAGACTGAAGAATATAAATGTAAAGTGAGGAAGGTGTTTTCTATTCCGCTCTATTCTTCTTCTTCTTGTTCAGCTCCCACTCTCATCTACCTTTCCTTTTTCTTTGCTCAGCTGCCTTCTCGCTCTGCTGTTTGAATCTAGCGCTGAGGGAAGGCTCCTTTTATAGTCACCTCTTGGAAGTGAGTCATTTCCCAAGCTACTTAAGGTTGCGAAACCTGGGATTGTTTGCACATGAGCGGGAATTTACAGTCCAAGGAGCAGAAAGACATCTGTGACTTATCTGGAGAGATAACTAATGCGGCATAATCCTTTTGAATAACTCAGTGACTAAAAATCTGTAAACCAATTGATGTGACAGGAATGCTTGAGAAAAATTCTTTACAAATTAGGTATATGATGTTATTGCTGTCAACACTGTATTGCACTACTACTCACACCAATCTCATGAACTACAGATTGATCAACTTGCAACTGATTCATGGATGACATGTAATAAAATTAACCATTCATTGCAATCTGTGAATGAGTGGCTGACAAATGTGTTTTGCCATCCAAAATTTCACCAACAGGAAGGGGTATTTGTTGCACAACTCCAATCATGAACTTTTCACATACTCTGAAAGCTACTTTTTAACAAAAAAAACAAAGAATTTCAAAACACTGCTCAGCATGCATTGCCATATTTATTGCTGTTAAAGTTTAATAGTGGCAAGTGGGTGTCACACACCTTTATTGCACAGGGACATAATTGCTCAAAAAAAGTTCATCAAGGTGAATACTGTGTACATTCAGACAATGCACACCTGCCTAATGTGCACTAACATGCTTAACAGAATGTGTTAAAGCATTCTTGTGGCATTTAGAAAGAGACAGGGAGAAAGCTGGTGTCTGACACTGAGTTTATAATCTGGCAGTTTAATTTAATATATATACAACAATAAAATACAATGAACTTTTGACATTAACAGACCGAAAGCACATTATCACAAAGTAAACTCATCAACTGCTTGCTTATTGAGTTTGACACATCTAAAGCAACTCCAGGAGACGTGCCAAAAAAATCTCTGTGAATCAAAGCCTGACACAACCTCAGCAAGCTCAAACATGCATCTGCTCACAGCCCTGACGCCACTGAAATCACTGTTGCAGAGCAGAAGAGAAGTATTGGCCAACTTCTGACAAGGGGGGGCAATCTTGTGGTTTTTAGACTAATGCTTGAGTTGTTGCACCACTTAAACAATACGTGCTGATTGGAAGTTTTTGGACAGGAGAAAGATTTATGTCTGTTAACAGCATGACAGTTTTAATTTAGTTTTTTATTTCTTTATTGAACAGGAACTGAAATAATCAAGGTTAGGAAGCATATCCCCTCGGGAACAACACATTTCCTTTTGTGGTCATCACTGGTCAGACTGTACAGAAATTAAAAGTAGATGTGAATATCCTGTTTAGTTAAATAGAGGATGTGATAAACTTTGCTGGAAAATTTATAAATGTATGTTTTTTGCTGTTTTTTTGATCAATGTGGTGATTTTCATGTAATGGCATGTGACCAGCATGAATTAAGAAACATATGACCATTTCCACTTATTGGTTTTTCCCCAGACTTACCCTGGGGTCAGAGTGCTAATATTAGATGATTTTTAAAATAGAAAATATAGTGAAGAGAGATGTGTTTCAGCCGGTCTGTGTACTTATGGCATCTCATGTCTTTAGATACATAACAAAAGAAATGGTATATCATCAAGAACACTTTCATTAGGCTACTGTTACAGATATGCGAAGTTTCATTTTGTAGTGCATGACCGGTGCCCCACACACACACACACACACACACACACACACACACACACACACAAAAGAGGAAACAAGCTCTGCAACTTGATGGTATCACAGAGGAAGTAGCCTTCTGTGAAATCTTGTTTGGCAGCATGATACATAGATGTTTGGATATTCCAAAATTTCCAGTTGACCTCAGCTAAAACCTTCATCATTGCAGAAAACTAAAGCTGTAAATAAATATCAATATATCAAACTCAGACAAAACTCTAAATTGGCCCTCCATTATAATCATGGGTGACGCGTGTTAGGGATTTCATTAAAAATAAATATTGGATGGATTGTTATGACATATGTCTTTGCAACTGCTGGATGGAAAATTCCAATGACAACGGGTGATCTACTGACTCTTCAGATAGTGGCATCAGCAGGTCAAGGTTTTTTCTTTTCTACACAAATATCTCAATAGAAACTTTCCAGCTGGTCAACAAAAATGCGTGCAAGAAAAAATATTCAAGTGAGATATATCAGAAGATTGCAGAAAACGGACAAGAATTGCTTTGCAACCACTCTAACAAGGGCTTTGTCCTGGCAAGAAAACAGGGCCCTTAGTCTTGTTAATTCAGTTTTTTGATATGTCACCTTCTTCAGCTTTGATATACCTTAGCACAACAATGCATAGTGCAATACGGTACTGCATAGCCTTCTATAACAGAGCAGAGGATACCAGTATAATACTGATAACATTCACTATCACTGCCTTATCAAAAAGCATGGTTTAAAACACAACCACTGGCACATGCTGACTAAACTCTGATTACAAAAGACAGAGGCAACCGGAAGAAAACATGAGCTGGGAAAATCAGGAATGAATCATAACCCCCAGTCTTGTCTGTGGTTTATTTATGTTTGAAATGTAAGCTGATATGAATGCTTAAGTACGTCTGTGTTGCTTTAGTGGAAACAGGCTCCATTGTGATACGTATACAAAAGCAAACAATTGGTTTCACTTGAATAGGGGTTGCAGGAGGTGACGGCTTACCAAGAGGACACTCTGAGGCAGTCACTCTCTGGGGCTCTAAGTAAATGTCAGGAACATTTTGGGGAATTTACAAATAGCTGGCTAAACAAGGGGTCGAGGACTGGAAGCTTTTTTCCCTCTCACACAAAAGTCTGAGTTGGGGTGTCTGTCTCTGAGGGTGGTTGGTGCTGCTGGAGTTTACATTCCTCATGTGTGTAAAAGTGTCTGTCTGACGTTAAGTATCATGCCAGGACAAGTTTGCTGGCTTGTCATAACGAACAACTATATGAAAAGACTATTAAAGTTCACATATTCTACACTTAAACTTTAGTTTTACGCAGCACATATTTACACTGATATTAATAATAAGTAAATAAAATTTTAAAAATTTTAAAAAAGGCCCTGTCTTATTCTTTGAAAGGATTATATCCATAATATATATGTGGTTATACTAATGTTTTTTTTTCTGCACACTGATTTCTGCATGTGATTTCTTTGAAGGAGAACAGAAGTGAAATTGTCTAGCAGCATTTTCAGGATATAAATCAAAAGAGGATGTTGAAAATACTAAAATTCAAGAGGATGGAGACATAGAGTAAACAGTTTGCTAGTTACACGAATCCCAGATATTCTCACTTCATCTGAGTCAGCTTTGGAAGAATTCCCAAAGAAACATTTAAAAGGCCTTTTTAAAGATTAGTTTGTAATATCCCACTTGTAAGTGTCTTCATGTTGTGTGGCCACAGCTGTGCAGCAGAAGAAGTGGAAACTATTTTGAAGAGAAAATGAGTCTTCTATGAAAATTCAGAAGAAAATATCCCCAAAATGTGATCATCGGCTTGCTAACTAGACCAGGGCGGTGAGTTCAAGCAATATTAATCAAAGTGTAACTCTGCAAAAAAAAAGAAAAGAAAAGAGTGAAGAAAATTAGTTACTTTGGCACTGTTTAATTACTACTGTCATAGATCCCAGAAATCTCACTGTTCTGCATGAGATTACAAGAGAGGTCTTAAATTTCTAACTTCAGTCCAAAAACAATGAATAATGCGCTTAGCTCCAGCTGGGCTGAAAAAAACCCTTTCCTTGGAAAAAGTAAGGGAGGGAGAAGGGAAGAAAACAGTTCACCGAGCAGACTTGCACAGTTGAAGCACAGTGAGCATAACTGCGCTGTGAAGAGCTGAGCTTTATCCGTCAGCTTCTACTGACTAACGCTAGTTATAAAAAAAAATTAAACCGTATCTCTGACTTCAGCTTCACAGCAGATATGTCTATCATCACAACTGTGGCACTCCTGGTTTTGCTGACCATTCCTGAGGGTGAGTCCAATCTGTCAATCAATGTTAAAATATAAGAGTAGTTATCTCTTGGGATTTTACATTTAATGCCTTACTTTCCATCCATGCATTCTGTGATTTGTGTCAAGTGCCTGTTTGTGATATGCATTTAGATATGCATCTAGATGTTGACATCCTTCATTGACCTCTCACAACCTCAGGCATCAGTCTGGGGGATCCAGGCATGACTCGGAGATGTCGATGCATCACCAAGGAGAAAAAGCCCATTGGACGTTACATAGGAAGGGTGGTGGTGAACTCTGCCAACTCTCACTGCAAAGACATTGAGATTATGTAAGCCCCGGGATCAAAATCCACCAGCTTTACTGTTCATTTGTCCTTGAATGAACCTGTGGGTGTATGGGTCTGTTGTAAAATGGCATGGTGTTATACTGTGTGTGATGTCTCTGGTCTGTCTTTGGTCCTGCAGTGCCACTCTGAAAAAGGATGGGCAACAGATTTGTCTGGACCCTGATGCTCCATGGGTCAAAAAAGTGCTTGGCAAGAGACTAGTTGAGTATGTCCCTCTTTGCAGTATTTTTTTGTAAATGTGTGACTACATTAACGTGAGAATACGACTTTATTTGAATCCTTCATGAGCAGTATGATTGCACAGTCTGAGGCACACCTCTCTAGAGAAGGGTATTTTATTACCTTAGGATTGACTGAGAGGCATCTCTGACTATCTGATGGCAGTAGTTTAAAAAGTTATTCCTTGTGTTTACACACTTAGTCACAGATCAAGGAAGTATATGGAAGTTCTCAGAAGAAAATTGTTTCACCTCATATTTCCCTTTCCAGGAACTTGATTGAAAATAAGTAAACATTAACTGGTAAAAGGGGTGAGGTGAGCTATTTGCTAAATACCAAAGGCAACACTTCCTTTTGAAACTGAAAGTCATACTTTATATTTCTTCTTTTTTTTTTTTTTCTCAGGCAGACACCATGAATAACAACCCCTAACAGTCTAGGGTCAGATCTTATAAAAGACACATCTTCATCACCAATGAAGTTCAAGGTGGATGCATGGATCGCACCTATGGAGCACAAAGAACTTGTTTTGCATAATGGAAAAGATTCACATGGCAGCTGTGGTACTCTGTGTGAGGATGTGCCTAAATCATCTACCCACCTTTTCAATTTCCTGACTTTCCTGAGAGTTTTTACACAAACCTATAATCTGAAGAATATGTTAAACATCATATCTTTACTCAATTTCAGTTAAAATACTTGTATCACAATTGTATAATAAATGTAAAATGTCAAATTCTGTTCTTTATCCTGTAATGCTCAGCAAAATGGAAAAACACAAGCACAGGCTGAACATAAACAATATATTTTAAGTGCAAACTTGTGTTTCTGGGTGGTTTTGAAACATGTGAAGTAGTACAGACTTAGATATCACTTTGACAAAACTAATGATCAACAATTGGATGGGGATGGGAGCCATGGAAACACAGTGTGTTTAATTTGATATTACCTATGATATTAAACCTCAAATTTTCAGGTTGGACTTCACATTATTCTCCCCCAGAGGTCAGACAGGATCTTTGTATTTTGTCTCTTGAAAGAGCATAAAGAATAACTCACTCACTCACAACAAATTCTGTTTTATGAAAGCATGTTTTACAAAAGGTTTGTCTGAAATAGTACTGTTTCCTACTACACACTACTATGTCCTTTCACATATCGTATATCCTGCATCACAGAGGCATAAACATTGCATTCTCAGTGGGAGGCCATCGCCATCTCTTGGACAAAAGTGCACACCACCAGGAATATGTTTTTCTGGCTATAAAATGAACTTCTTCATTATTTCATTATTATTCATTGTTTGTTTGTTTGTTTTTTTCATGTCAGGTTTAGTTGCCTGCTTTGCAAAAAAGTTTAATAAAAATATGTTTGAAAAAAATAAAGCTGTACTCAATCCCCATAAGTGTCTTGGACTAGAGCCGACAAAAGCAGTTTATGGTTCTTGCTAAACTGGGTGTTGTGCAATAGCAATGCTTTTCAAAGCCAGTCATTGTATCAGTGCTGTTGGCTCTGGCAAAGGCTACAAAAGAAATGTAGAAGTCACAAGTAGCCTATTTGTTATATTTCTGATTATTCAAAAGAAAGTGAAATGCATTTGAGCCTTTCCTGTGTTTATCTCACTTGATAGCCTATATATTGTATAAAATGATGGAAGGCATATCATTCCTCAACCAACCATTTACTATATCTTTGGCAAAGCTAAGTATTAGTAGCTTGCCACTCTAGTCCACACTTGCCTTTACTAATCAATGCCAGAACACCAGTCTGTCTCTCTTTACAAATTAATTTGAGTAGCCAAGCACTGTCAAAAACCCTTACAAGTTTATTGCAAATTCAAGTGGAAATCCCAGAATTCCCAAAGATACTGAATATATCATGCTGGTCATTTCAAATTAGCTAAATTCTTTGTCAACATTGTTAACGTTTTTTACGACACACATATTGCAATGTTTTCACATGCACATGAGAAACTGCATTAAACATGCTGTTGAAGAAGTGACATGTTTAGAAATGTTACGTGCATCACTCAGCTGTGCATCATCCACATCTACCTTCAGAATAATACAGTCCTTGTGTTTCCTAGACATTTCCTTAGGAAAATAAAGTAAGAAAATAGAGAAAGTGACAAAGATAATCCAATCCCATAATAGAATGGGAGTTGGACAAAGCAGGAAACTAAGAGTGCCTTGAACCTGTGGCTGGGGTTGAGATAACAAAGTAGAAAAAACTGTCTTTAAAGTTGTTTACCTGGCTATAACTCTCCTATCACTCCAGATCCAGCCACCCCTACCTGTCCTAGAATAACCTCAGTGTTCCCACCATTCCCTGTCACCTACCACACATCCACCTGCACATTTGTTCCCCATCATAGACTTGGTGGTATTTACACAGCCCATTTCTCATCTTTCTCTGCCAGATTGTCTTTTGTTAACAGCCTTTTTTCTACGTCTGCCAGTTTTTGCCTGTTCTGAACCCCGATCTGCCTTTTGGAGTATTGCCAATCAGCCCCTTTTGTCAGATAAGTGGTGTTTTTTTCTGCCTCTGGCTCTGCGTGACTCTTCATGCATTTAATCTCAAGCAAACTTGAACTTTATTTCACTGCTTTGTGAGTTGTTGTTTCTGGTAAGAAGCTTGTTTACACTGACTGGTGTAGTAGTCACCTATATATTATGGTCACTTTGTACCGTGGGATAGTTGCAGTAAAAATTTTAACTGTTGATCTTTTAAGCTCTCCATAATCTAGTCAGAAGAAGATAGCTGTCTATCCAAGTCATACTTTGGGACACAGCTGCAATTACTTGGAAGTTTGGGTTCAGCTTGTCTTGGCGGAGGCCAGTGGGCTGTAAAAACCCTGACCACTAGATTGTTTCTGTGTTGCAAGGAAGCATGTTGCCTTACTGGTTAGTCAAAACTGCACACACTGTTTTTTTGTTTTTTAAATGCAGAGTTCAAGTTTATTATTGATATTAACACTATTAATTGTCATATGCAAAAATTGCCCCCTAGCAGATATTTCATCTTGCAAAAACTTTTTGTGGCCAAATTCATGAAATAAAAAGTGACAGTGCTCGTTTTATGTCTGATTACTGCAGGTATGGGTTGTGTTCACTTCTTCATCTAAAAAAAAGATAACAACATATGTAGTTTGTCCAGACTTTTGCAGAGAGCTATAATGTCAGTGACAGTGCAGACGCATCTTGTGTTTTATTCTAATGACTAATAATTATTTGACACTGACTGAGATTGGCCACAACATTTGGGTTGAAGGTCTGACGTTTATCACAAGACATTACAAGGAAGGGGAAATGTAGTTTAGCCAAAAATGATTTGAGTATTGAGACAGGCACTTACTCGATCAGAAGTATCGAGGCAGAGACATGAGATGCAAAACAGGGATAGAGCAGCTTGTCCTCACCATGTCTATGGTCTTAACCATCACCACTAACATCAGCCCTCCTTCGCTCAGGTAGACGCCCACTTTGGGGAAGCGGAAGATGGACCGAGCTCTGTTTGTTTCGTGGTCTCTTGCCGTAAACTGGAAGCAAACGTCTGAACTCCATTTCGATGGCACATCTGCAGTCATCATGGATTGTTATGAAGTCTGGAAGCAGCGAGGAGAAGTCGCTACTGCAGACATGTAGACTAACGCTAGGAAAAATAGCAGGTCTGAAAATGTGTTGATCCATCAAACTGTAGCAAAGCGGTAGAAGGTAAAGCGTTATTTGTTTTTGTTCTTGACGGATGCGATGCTTTGCTGTGTTTTTTGATGTTGTAGCTAACGTCAATTACACAAGGCTTGCAAATAACCAGCGTTACTTCGCTAGCTAACCGCCAATAATCGTAGCAAACTTTCAACACAATATTGCAGAACTATGTAGAGATATTAGAGACGTAAATTAAAATTGCAATAACGTTACAGAATTCACGACCTCATTTCCATCATGTCTGTTTAGCTATGTGTTGTTTTCCTGTTAAAAAGACACAGATAAGCTAGTTACGGTTATAGCTGACCATCGTAGCTTTGGTTATATATGTGTGTGGTCATTTATAAGCGCTGTTGTGTGCTTGTTTATCTTTATTATTGTTGTGTAACGAGTGGCGCTAGCGGTTTCCTGTTGCTTGATGTGCGTGTGCGTGTCACTGACTGTTTCCAGGTGCGCCTACCGTCACGGTGCTCCCCAGCCGGTGTGTCTGCTGCCATGGAGGTGGGCAGCCTCCCCGTGGAGCTGTGGAGGGTTATCTTGGCCTACCTCCCTCTCCCTGACCTGGGCCGCTGCTGCCAGGTGTGCCGTGCCTGGCGGGAGCTCATCCTCTCTCTGGATAACACCCGCTGGAGACAACTCTGCCTCGGTTGCCCTGAGTGCCGTCATCCCAACTGGCCCAGTCAGCCCCATCTGGAGCCCCCATCCTGGAGGGAGGCCCTGAAGCAGCACGCCCTGGCCACCCGCACCTGGACTCAAAATGGGCCAGAGCTCCAGTCTTCTGCCTGCCTCCTCTTTTTCCGCCGTCGAAAAGACCGTAGGGTTTGGCATGTGGGTCCTGGATGCGAGTTTGAGACCCTACGTGGGGCCCTCGGGGTGGTGGGGCCATATGACCGTGTGGTTCTCCATCCAGGGGTATATGAGGAGCAGGCTGAGGTAGCGCTGAAGGTGCCTGTGGAGCTGGTTGGGCTGGGCCGATTGGGCGAGGTGTCCCTCCTGGTGTGTATGGAGCAGCAGTGTCCTACTGCCAGGCTGTGTAATCTGGTGTTCATGCCACCCTGGTTCTCCACTGTGGTCTACAAGGTGAAGTAACAATTTGTGGTGATGGTTTCTTCACACAGCTGTTGCTTACCAACTGTTCACTGCTGTCAGTGTAACTTCATAACATTACTCTCGTTGCTCAACCCTATAAGGCTGCAACTGAAATAGCAATAATGATCATTTTCATTATTAGTGTTGATCTGGTCTGTTGATTATTTTCTCAGTTAACCAGTGAATCATTTTGTCTATAAAATGTCACAAAATGGTGAAGAATGGCCATCACAGTTTCATCAAGGTGGTGCAATCAAAAGGCTTTTTTGTCAATCAGCCGTCCGAAACTTTAAAACATTCAGTTTACCGTCACAAAAGACTAAAATGCAGAAAATAATCACATTTGAACTGCTGGAACATGATTATCTATTATCAGAGTACTTGCACATTATATTTCTGTCATTTTTTTTTTTTTTTTTTGCTGAAATCTGTCTGACTCCACTCTTTCTCTCCGTGCTTTATTCCAGACATCATGGGGTCACGTCCAGCTAGATAACTGCAACTTTGAGGGGGCTCAGTTGCAAATCCGTGGCCCAGGAACCTGCCAGGCTCGCTTCTGCTCCTTCTCACAGGGAAGCTCAGCCCACTTGCTGGGTGTTGTCCTCAGTTTATTGGACAGCTGTGACTTCTCAGGAAGTGACACAGCCTCAGTGACTGTGGAAGGTCCTCCAGTGTTAGAACGGAACTGGGCTTGTAAACACTTGGCTGGCCTGGCTAGGACGTTCCCATCATGTGGCATGTCTGGGAATAACGGTAGCTCTCCCAGAGGCCAACTGACTGGCTCCACTGGTGGGCATCAACCTTCAGGGAATAATGTCAAAAAGGAACATGTGAGCATAGAGGACTGGCAGAAGAGGACTGGGGTAGATGCAGTGTGTCAGGGCACAGTGATTGAAGATGGCTGGAGTGATGGTGAACACAGCGAGGGAGAGGAGGAGAGCCGAGACGGTGAAAAAACCAACACCAAACACCCATTTATAATGGATTACAAAATCCCATGTGACAATCATGGCCTATCCCATTTGCTCAAGCCCCGGGCAGATGGCTCTCTGCCACTGGCCTCCTCCCCAGATCCCCCACCTGTGACCCCTGAACCCCTCACCCTTCAGCAGGAACTAGAGAGGGACCCAGAAGCTCAGATGTTGGCAGCGTCCACACTCGGCTGCATCCTCAGACGCTGCCTCTTCAGGGAAGGGAAGGGAGGCGTGCATTTGTCTAACTATGGACAAGCTCGGCTGGAAGGCAATGTCTTCCGTGGGCTGAACTACGCCGTCCGCTGCATCCAGAACTCCACAGTAAATAAATCTTACTTAAATGTGTCTTAACACATTATGGTTTCCCGTGCTCAGTGACTTTTATTTCCAGCATGCCATTTGAGTAGTGTATCAAGTTAAGGAAGTAGCTCCAGATCATGAGTAATTAAGCAGCAGTTTCCTGTTGAAACCCGTTATTTGAGCTGCCTCTTGCTCTCTCACCTGCTGCAGATAGTGATGCTGAGAAATGAGGTGTGCGAGTGCCGTGCGTCAGGTGTGTTCCTGCGTCTCTCCGCTCAGGGCCTCATCGCAGAAAACAACATCCACTCGAACGGAGAGGCGGGGCTGGATATCCGAAAAGGGGCCAACCCCATAATTGTGGTAACTGCTGCCTCACTGTCTACTGAAGTCCACAGTTTTAAGGCGGGTACACACTGTGCGATGGTGGGCTGTCCCACACTACCACTACAGTGACACAGATGGATGATGCACGCTGATGATGTTTTATTCTTGTAAATTGACTTGCTCTGTAGCATACGATTCGAAGCGTTTATCATCAAACAATCTGCATCTCCTACCCAAGTTTATTAGATCCATGTCGCACAGTGTGACCTACAAAAAAACGTATACGATTTTTGAAATCTCAATGTCTGAGGTCCAGAATAGACCAGGCAGATGCTGACTGTCGATATTTATGAAGCACAGTGAAAGTGTTGTATAAAAGCCTGTAATTGATAAAAATATTTTAAAAAATCAGGGAGGTAAATTTCCAAATCTAACTGCTCATAGTTTGATCATCTTTTCTACTACAGTCTCATTCTGTCTTTCATTCCACAGTGCAACAAAATACATAGTGGTTTGCGTTCTGGGGTTGTTGTCCTTGGTAACGGGAAAGGTTCAATTCGGAGCAACCAGATCTATAACAACAAAGAAGCGGGTGTGTATATTCTCTTCAGCGGGAATCCTGTGGTCAGGTATGTTGGACTCCAGACACAATCTAACCTTCCCTGGAATGTGCAGTCCTCATTTTCCCCCATCGCTCATAAAGTGTGTAGAGGTTTTTTATTTTCTAGTGTGTCATAATTAAAACAATAAGGTCGAGCACTCAGAGTTTAAAACCACAACTACAACAGGCCTTTTTCCCAGACTACATTGTGTCTCTATACATAAGCTTGCATTTTACAGTAAAAGTATGTCACAAGTTGTCATATGCAGTGTTGTGAGAGAGAGCTAATATAACTAACTGGTAATTAGTTAATTAGCTCTTTTTGTGAAACAACACACACTAACACACTTGTTCTACTCTTGTTCTTTCTGTCTCTCATAGTGGGAATCACATCTTCCAGGGCCAGGCAGCAGGGATTGCAATAAATGAGAATGGCAGAGGGATGATAACAGGTGTGTAAGTGGGTCTGCCCCACCTCCTTGTCCAAATCGCACATCAGCATGCCAAATATGTTGTTCATTGTCACCCATTGTCATTGCTTTGCCACTTCCAGGAAGTAAAAGCATTACTTTTGGTTATCATGCACTAAACTAAATTTCTATCTGATTTTTTTTTTTTTTTTTTTTTTAAATATACAAATGCATTTCAATTCCAGAGAATGTGATCAAAGAGAACCAGTGGGGGGGTGTAGATATCCGCAGAGGAGGTGACCCCATCTTGAGGAACAACTACATCTGTTATGGCTTCTCAGACGGTGTGGTGGTGGGAGAGAGAGGACGCGGCCTTATTGAGGGAAACCATGTCTACTGTGTGTAATTTCAGCATGATGATTCCGCATCCTGAATTTATCTCTACACAACAGCTGCACAGGTGTTTCATTTCCTCTCTTCCTCTTGTTTCTTCAGGTAACAAAGGCTGTGGTGTGTGGGTTATGTCGTCTAGCCTCCCACAACTCCTGGGAAACTACATCACCCATAACTGTATGTATGGGTTGGCAGTGTTCTGCAGGAAAGACCCGGAGAACATCGAGGCGAGGGAGGGGAACTGGCCAGGGCAGGAAGGGATCGGTGGAGAAGGAGGGAGCGGGGAAAGGAGAGGAGTAGAAGGAGAAGGAAGAGAAGGGCAGGAGAACTTGAACGAAGAGGGGGAATTGTTTGCGTGGGAGAGCGATCTGGACAGCGAGGATGAGCGACACTCTGCCCGTCGCTCCATTAGTGTGGCCCTGGTGGAGAGCAACTGCATGAGTTACAATGGAGGTAATAAGAACACTTGTTGCGTCAAATACAAATAGTCACTCACACCCGCACCCATCTAATGTTGTCTCCATCTTTCTGTTTCCCTCTCTGTAGCGGTTGGTCTGTACGTGAAGAGCAGTGAGCCCCTGAATGTTTTTGCTAACCTTGTAAACAGCAACCGTGGCACTGGAATTGCTGTGCTGCAGAGCAGTCAGCTGACCCGACTGGTTACAAACTGCATACTTGAAAATGTTCGAGGTGGTGTTACGGTGGAGAAAGACTGCCGTGTGGAGCTTCGCGGTAACGGCATCTATGAAAACAGTGGCCATGGCGTCGGTTTCAGTGGCAACGGGCAGATTGTGGAGAATGACGTGGTAGGAAACCGGGGATATGGGATCCAAGTCTCGGGCAATGCTGACATCAAGGTGAGATGGAGTGAAGCATGAACACAGACTTATTTCAAATGCATTTGTACAACACTCAACAGAGCTACTTACTGAAATTAACACAAATTAACACACCACTTATGTAATTTTAAAAAAATGTTTTTTTTTATGATTTTTATCAATAGGTACTGCGCAACCGTGTCCAACCAGCACAGGGCTGTGGCATTGCTGTTCTCGGGCCAGTAAAAGGAGTTGTCCATGACAATCTCTTGTTCCAGGGCCATCCTGGAAACAAAAAAACACTGCTGCATATGGATCCTGGCAATGATAGCTGTGTGTTGCGCAACAACAGTATTCTAAGGCATAATAACAGGTGACTAGATAATTAACAGGAAAGTTCCAGAGATTCAGATACTATCAGTATCCATCTGTACTCCTTCTCCCCCTTTCTTCTGCTGCCCATGTACTTAATGTATCGAATGACAACGACAAAATAATGTGACAGTGTAATAACATTTCTGGAAACATTTGGGATAATGTAAGTACACAACTCAAAAATATGTCATATATGTATCGTCATTCTGAGGTAGTTAATGTGGAAAAGTTAGATATTTTAGCTTTAAATTCACCTGGTGGCCAGAAGCATAACTCCAAATGAATGATAATGTTTCTGCTGGATATATAAATAAGCAACTTCTTGTTAACAAGTTCAGTTCACCGTATCAACTTAAAAGGAGTTGATGTCAATGTCGTGTTCATAACTTGTTTCTGCTGCCCTCAAGTGGCCAAAGAAAATCAGCTATTGCAGGTTTAACATCTGCACTGCTCAATGTTTCTGTGTGAATATTTTTATCTGAAAGAAAAAAAAAAAACCTTTACTTTTATGTCTTTGCATTTCGTAGCTGTACATCCGCTCCTCCCTGGGTTTTGGAAAACCCTCCTCCTCGTCCACTGGCCAGCTCCCCCTCTGGCCTGTCGTCATCCCGGTATCCCTCCCGACTTGGAATTTCCATGACAACCAGGATCAGCGCCACTGTGGAGAGTGGTTGCCACAGTGGCAGCATGTTCTGCTCCATCCTGTGAATACTGGCAAGCACTTATAAACCAACATGAATGACTTTATCAACATGAATGACTTTACCAAGAGGTCAGCATTTGATCACTTCTGAATTGGTGTGTTATTATAAATTTGGAGCACTCTAGACCTCCTCAGAGAAGACCCTCCAAAGTGATGCCCTGTTGTTGGCGTGGAGTAACCACCAAGTAGTAAGAGGCTGCACCATGTATAACCACTAAAGGGGCCGACCACCTTCTCGAACATTGGTGGCACAACATTTTGTAAATCTGAAATCAGACTTTTGTAATTTTAAGATAGAATGCCAATGCTTTCATCAAATGTGGACTCATGATGTGAAGCAGGAGTGCAAGACGAGCATTGTTACCATCCTACATCTGAAACAACCGTTTCCATAATGAAGCTTTAACTTCAAAAATCACGTTCTCTTATAAATGCAGATTTCATATTCATGTACAGGACTGCTGTAGACTTTGTTGGTTTTTGTCAGTTTGTTTCTGAGACTTACTGGTTAGGAAGTGCACATTTATAAGTCCTAGCAGGAGTCAGAGGCATCAGAGATGCCAGCTTAAATCATGCTACAAAGTAAAGCTGTGCCTTGTATGACTTTTTAATCAACCAGTGATTGTAGCTAGGGGGGGGAGTTGTCATAGTGTGAGGTGTATATGCAAAAAAATTGAAAAAACAAAGCCAAACTTAAGTTTCTGCCTCTTGCACAGAGCTGTTGTTTCCTGGTGAGTCTGTTTCTGTATCATGCCCTCCATGTTGTTTTTAATGTTTTGCATTTCAGCTACATGAAATTCAGAGGAAGGAAAATGTATCATTCCAGATGTATCAACACGCTGCACAGTAACACTCAACCACAGACTCACCTGGTAACAGCCAGTTAAGGAAGGAAAAAGATGTTAAGTGTGCAATATGTGATGTCTACAAAGGTGCCTATACGTTTTATCTAAGCTAATGTTTTCTGTCATCTAGAATTTTTTTACAGCTCATTACTCAGTTTTATTTGTATCATGCACAGTAAGAATTAAATAACAATATCATGTATAACTCAAAGTCGACCATTTTATTTGTCTACGAAATTCATCAATAAACAGTTCTTGTTTGTGGCGTTTCCAATTCTTAGTCATGTCTCTTTATCCAGTTCTTGTCTTCCCTTGTTACGGTCTTCAGTGCATTTTCTTGCGTTTCCGTCTCTCCATGAACTGATCATATTTGACAAGAGGTAGAACAAGAGATGCCTGCCTGTGTTCGTCTCGTAGTCCAGCCTCCTGAGTCTTCCCCCGACCCGGTTTAGTTAGGGTCAGTCCCATTGACTTTGCAACTTCAATTATTCTGTAGGAAAAAATATAAATCAGGTATACCGATAGATTTGCTCCATTGCGCCTCATATTGACAGTGCTTTATGGGGTGTGATGATCATTTGTATACAACAAGAATGGTACAATTGCTGTCAACCATGAGCAGCAACTAAAAAAAAAAAAAAAAAACATAACATCAGTTCACAGGTCTGAGTCGACACCACTGACCTGAACAATAGTCTTCCTGTATTATTTAAACAGTAACATTAAGCGAATATATATATATATATATATGTAGCATACTACTACGCAGTGTGTTACACATTTAAAAACAATACACATACTCACATAAGAATGCATTTTTATTTTTCTTACCTGGACTCCGTGATTCCAAGGTCACGGTGCAGTAATGTGAGGTCAGCAGTCATGTGACCCATATGCAGCAGCAGGGCCAGGGAGTAAGCTGCTATTTTGGCTCGCATTGATGTTGACACCATGTTCAGGACCCTTTAAAAGGTGAAATCGATGTGTTTGTATAGAAGACTGAGTAACCAAATCAAAAATCTCTGCAACAATGACTATGTTGAGCTCCTAATAACATGCTAATAATGGATCCATCTTTCTTATACAAATTAAGGTTCTAAGGAAAGAGGGTGTCAGATTGGGTGTCATATGGCTTTACAGATTGTGAAACACTCTGCGGCAAATTTATGGGTTTGGGTTAGTTTTCACTGACTGATCAGTAAATACATTGAGGAGTAGAAAGCTGTGCAAAATACTAAAAGGCACTAAGAGACATTTGCAGCCATTAAGTCCTTGGTTATCTGAATTTTTGCCTAGAAAGGTGAAAAGCAATTTCCATATATTTTTAATATGAGGTTCCAAATGTAATCCAACCTAATCAAATTCCAGACACATAATTTATGAAATACATGTTGACAAGGTACTAATTCTATAAAGATCTATAAAGGTTATCTGCAAAGCAAATATAGTCTCTGCAAATATTTCAACACATACAAAAGTTCCATCATCATACCTGCCATTTTTAAAAGTCTCCACGGTGAATGTTTTGAACAGTTTGCTCTGAATGATGCGAGGGCAGCCCTCCTCCTGCCCGACTGCACAGATAAATATAAATCATTATTAGCGTTGGTCCCAGGAGAAGGTCTACAGGAACACTTTTAACACACATACTGTATGATGAAGGCAAACAACAGTACTCACATTTGCGGGTAAGGTTCCTCTCCTGTGCCAGTTTGAGCAGCAGGGAAAGGTAAAAGGCGCAGCGTGCCACTTTATCTCTGGCTTCACCTACGGTTGGCATTTTCTCTAATTGCTTCACAACACACAGACACCTTAAAAAAGTACAAACAAAAGTTAAAATGCAAGGAAACACAAGCAGCTTAATAAAATGTCTCAGCAAGTGTGAGCCCTTCGTTGGCCTACCCTCCGTCATTTGTCATCTTCTGCAGCTCCTCGGGGGTGAGTGCTGCCATCTTGGAACCAGCCTGCTCCAAAGCACCAAAGTCCACTGGACTCAGGACTACGGATATTGATTAAGGACAGAGACCCAAACAAACCCAGCTGTAACTCTAAACACATACTATATCATCTATCTTTCCTCAGTAATATACACACACACACACACAGCAAATAAAGGATACGATCGTCAAATAGGTAGACGTTCTCAGGTATGTCTGCATCTGTATTGCAAGGGGGCAGATGGAGAGCCAGGTCTCCTTGGGACTCTGTCTCAACAACTTCCTGTTGGAGAGCTGAGGAGAGACGAGAGAAGAAAATGTATTTTCAAAAAAATATGAGAAACAAATTGACACAAGACCAGAGGGAAAACAACATGGAGAGAAAGACGACAACTAACGCAGCCAGAAATTTCAGGTTAGCTTCACATTTTTATGCCTTTATTAACTGACCTCTCTTTGAGGTTTCTTTCGGTGATAACTATTTGATGATTTTTTTTAGAATACTAGCATCCATACCCAATGACTTAGACACTTTGACTATGTAGCTTACCTTCCACACCCTTCTGGTTGATCACAGTGTTGGCAGCCTTAGCCACTGCTTGGTGCAGGGTGTCGCTGCCAACCTGATTCAGCCTGCGGGAGCTCAAAGCTCTTTTCTGTTTGTTGGTGCCAAACGCCTCAATCAAAGAGTCAACCTAAAGAAAAAAATATAACATAAAATTAAGACAGGTTTATTTTTATTTTAGCCCAGTCTTCTCTTATTCTTAGAAAAACAGAATATATCATGGTACCTTGTCTCTGAAGGTCTGAGTAGTGTCCTGGGGTTTTGCAGCATCTGTTGTCTCTCCTGGTGAAAAAACATTGCAAACCCAGAACATTTACACCAATAAAATCTTGAGCCAAAAGCAAGCTAAAACAGTTTTCTTTTAAATGATGATCTGGTTGTTTTGGAAAGTGATCAGTCAATCGGGTAATGTAGACTGCTTAGACTTAAATGTTACACTAAGTTTCATAATACATGCTAGTGATTGTTTTACTTACCTGGTATAACAGGTTGCATGTTGAAGAGCTGAGCGTTGTGCACCTCCATTTGCATGGTCTGTTTGTTCAACACTCCAACATAATAACTAAGCACAGACAGACACCAAGCATATACTCATTATTTAATCCTATTCACAGTGACAGTAGTCCCAGTCCTAATTTCTCGATAGAAGCTACATTCACCTACTTGCAAAGGTTGTTGCATTTCAGTGACCCCGCTGCAAAATTATTTCCAACATAGGACAGTCTGTCTGATTCAGCAACCTAGACAGAGGAAAATATAAGCAACACAGTCATAAAAGTAGAGCAACACAACCTGCACAAGTTATCTTTATAGGTGAATGGTACAGTGCAGGCACATAACACAGAGGATGAAAGAAATCTTGCATTTTTCTCACCAATATCCGTCTGCTCCTTTTTCTGGGGTTATTCTCATCTGCGTTCTTGTACATCGTGAAATCTAGGTTGTCTGCATTTCTGACGCTGCCGTTTGAAAAACGGACTGTGAAATTGAGACACATAGAGAGGAACCTGTCAACACCTGTGATTCACATCACCAAAAACAAATTCAGGGTTGTGTATGTTTGTTTCCTTTTTACTAACTCAATACACATGAGAAGCACCTCGGACATCAGCTAGACAACACACAAACCTAAACAACTAGCCCTGTTGCTAGCACCCACGTGTGCAACACAAATAGGTGTTTGAATAGAGGGAAAAAATATGACCCAACATTAACAGGCATTACAATTGCAATTTCCTTTAAAAAGGGTTTAAACAAGCAGCAAGTAAGATATAATTACCAATAACAGCTTTGTCGTCATCTCTCTCTTCTCCACAACACACTAGCGAGCAGGGGGCAGCCATGGTTGTTGTCATGTGTTTCTGGATGAAGCAAGAGCATTCACTCCTTTGCACTTCCGTCTTCGCCAAGATGGTCAAAGTAGTCCAACAAATCCGCAGATTTTTATATACATTACATAGATTAACGTAACGATGTTCTTCGTTAATTAATGAACTGGAAAAAACTGGAAAAACGTTTAACTTAAGCGAAATACATTCACTCAAATGATATGCAATAGATGTTTTTTTTGTTTGTTTTTTTATTGTTTGTTTGTTTTTGTTTCTGCTTTTGTGTGTTTATGTCATATTATTTTGCTCACAAACCACTTAGTAATATATTTTCCTTAACTGCAGTATGTATTAATATAACATATAAACCTGCATCGTTAATGCCTGTATGACCATGTTGGCTCCACCATTGAACAATGCTGAAAAAACATGTTGACCCATGGTGTAGGCTGGAGCTACACTTGTGTCCACCCTTGCTACAATACACAACCTATTTGACATCAAGAGCTAATAAGTGGCAAAATGAATAATAAAAATTAAATATTAACTGGTAAGGGACACTTGCTGACTAAGAAGATAGCCGGATGAGTAGGTGTGTAGACTCTTTGATAAAAACAGGCTGTAAAGTATCAGCAGCGCCGCACCGTGGTGGCTCAGCAGAGCTGCAGAGCTTCTTCACCTCGGCGAGGTCACGGACATGGAAAGGAAGCATAGCGCCACCCTGTGAGTCTGGTCGGGAAAACCCGTCTGAGTAGGGAAATAATTAGAAATTATAACATTGCACATGTTGGACCTGAATAGCGATTTACAGCCAGCATCCAACTTATTGACGGTTGTTGTTTCAACCTGACTCCGCACGGGGATGACACCGACAGATGTGTGAGACAAACGGTCAGCGGTCAACGCGCACATCACCACGGGCAGCTTTCACCCCCACAGACAGACAGCCAGACCGTTCAATGCGAGGAAACTGCTCAGAGTGGACCGCAAGGGACGTGGGCTGTAGCAGCAGAAATGTTAGCTAGGTAACATTTGATGGGAAAAGCTGTTTCGTTATAGACAAGTGGGTCCAACCAGGTGACCGCATGCTACTGCTTGTGTTGTAGCTAACAGGCAATTTGCTGGTCTGTAGCCAGCTAACTTTAGCCTTGTCAGTCTCTGGTCAGGGCCCTGTTTCTGCCTGCTGTAACCTACGCTTTCGGAAATTCAAGGTAACGTTAGATGTTACTAGCTCGCACCGTGTTATTGCTGATTTTGCTAGTTACATTAGCTAGCTGGTCCTGTATTAGCCAGTCTCGACTTGGTAGTTTTGTAGTATCATTTATCATTATTACAGTCCAGTGTACACTCCGAGGCTATGCTCTGTAGCTACTCTTTTATCAATGCAGCTGTAATTGATAGCCTCCTTATAAGAATAAGTAAACAGTTGGACAAGCTAAAGTGCAAGTTGTGTCACAAAATATTTCTTAATATATTTCCTTAAAGCAACACTGCTCTCGGTGGACATTAATTAATAATCCCACCGAAGTATTCGTAGGCCCTAGGACCACAGACTTTCAACCCAATAATGAAAGTACATCTTTTGGTTGTTTTATATAACTATGAACACCTCCACAAATAAAACTAGCACATAAAAAACATCTGTCAGTCAAGCCCAACCATTACCTCCATCTACTCTGTCCCTGGCCTCATTTTAGGCCTCCACCATCATACAACTGCATCAGGCTGCAACTAACAGTATTTTTATTTTCACTTAAACTGTAGATAAATTACCAGATTAAAGCTTTCTTTACGTAATCAATATATAATACATACAATACTCCCAACACAATTTCCCTGAGCCTAAGCTGATGCCTTCAAATTGCTTGTTGTTCCTGACTAATAGTAAAAAAGTCAAAGATATCCAAATTACAAAAACAATCTTAACGTTTTAGAAGCTGCAAACAACAAATATTTGGTGTTTTTGCTCAACAAAGGATTTAAAAGTTATGTAAATTACTGTTGCTTGATGTTTTTCGTTGTGGACTTTTCATTTCAGCTGTGTAATTATCTTAGTTTTTTTAATACCCTTATGTATTATGTCTTTAGGGCCATGGATTTCCCAGGCCACTTCGAGCAGCTCTTCCAGCAGCTAAATTATCAGCGCGTCCACGGTCAGCTGTGCGATTGTGTCATCGTGGTGGGCAGCCGTCACTTTAAGGCCCACCGCTCGGTGCTTGCAGCCTGCAGCACTCACTTCAGAGCCCTGTTCACTGTTGCAGAGGGAGATGCCAGCATGAACATGATCCAGCTGGACAGTGAGGTCAGGATCTTAATAATACTGTGTTAAAGAAGGCAATGGTGATTATATAACATTCATGTTTATATTGATGATGGCAAAGAGTGTGATGTGTGTAATTCAGTAAAAATCAATTGCACATCTGACATAATTCTGTGTTGCTGCTGTTTCAAACAGTGCCAACAAGATCAAGAATCTACTTTTGTCTTTGCAGGTGGTGACAGCTGAAGCTTTTGCTGCTCTGGTGGACATGATGTACACGTCAACACTGATGCTGGGGGAGAGCAACGTGATGGATATCCTCCTTGCAGCCTCACACCTGCACCTCAACAATGTAGTCAAAGCCTGCAAACACTATCTCACAACACGCACGCTGCCTATGTCTCCCTCATCTGACCGACAAACACATCACCACCCTCAGCAGGACCAGCAGAGGCGCAGACAGCAGCAGCAGCAAGTAGCAGATTTGGCAGTGAACCCTACTCTAGCAGCTAATGCTAACCTCGCAGCAAATGCTGCCACGTCAAAGTTGCAGCGCTCCTTCCTGTTGCAGCAGCTGGGGCTCAGCTTGGTGAGCTCTGCCTTGGGTGGGATGGAGGAGGACGGGGTGGGAAATGTAGTTGGCAATAGAGGGGTGGAACAGAGAGCCTCCTTCCCTATCCGACGATTCCACAAACGTAAGCCCTCTCTTGCACTGGGCCTGTCAGAAGACAGACCCAGGCAGAGGCAGCGCCCCTCAGCTCCTAACCTGGGGTTGTTGGGAGAAGAAGGGGTTAACACAGAGCGAGAGGAAGGAGCACTTCTATCCCCAGACTCCCACAAGATGGGGGATGAATCAAAATTGGATGCTGCAATCACTGGCCTAGTAGGGGTGTCCCAAGATGATCCTCAGATGCCTAGCCAGTCAGACAGTGGACACTGTGAGGGAGAGGACATGGGAAGAATGCAGGGAGGGGTGAGCAAGGAGGAGGACATGGATGACCAGGACCACCAGGATAACAGATCAGGGGTGAAGATTAAATCAGGGACAGAGGAAGAAGAGGCAGAAGAACAGGAAGAGAAGGTAAAATTGTAGCTTTTATTGTTGTGACAAACTAACAAACTCTCATTTTGCCTTACACAAGAAGATTTTTGTATTTTTACCCTTAATCTCTCTCTCTCTTCAGTGAAGTTTTGATACACTAAACTCTCCTAAATGTTTAATTATTTGTTTTTATTTTGGGAAGAATAAAGACATCACAATTTTTAAGCCAAACAAGTGTTTTTTCACACTGGAGCAGATGAATATCTTTACCAGAAATTTGTCTAATCCAACACATTTACAACTTGTTATGCATGAAGTCCATTGTCTGACCATCACAAAATCATTTGACTCATATGTACATGCAAATCACTCTGCTCTAATTTAGCTGCTGGCTTTGCAGGCTCATTGATTCTTTTTTTTTTTCTTCTTTTTTTTTAAAATCAATTCTGCCTTGACCAAAGACAAAGCTCATTCTTTGCTTCCCACAGGTGGTGGTTAAACGAGAGCCGCTGAGCTCTCCTGAGCCGACAGATGAAATCAGCGATGTGACATCGCAGGCAGAAGGCAGCGACCCAGCTGAGCCTGGAGGCCAGGAGGAGGAGGAGAAGGTGGAGCTGAGCCCAGAGAGTAGCGACCGTAGCTTCACCTCTGAACCCCAACCCAGCTCTGACTCTCTGCTGCAGCCCAGCTCCCAGCTCCTCCTCAAGAGCAGCATGGGAAGTGGCGCCGGAGTCGGAGGAGGTTTTTCGTGTAATAATGGATTGAGTGGAAAACCTGGTTTTAGTATTTCTAGCTTCCTTAGCCCAAAGGATTTTGGAAGTGGCGGGCCAGGGTTGGTTACAGCAGAAGACGACCTGCCCAACACAACAACTGGGGATGCAGTAGCACATCACTTCCTGCTGAGACAGGAAGCTGCTGGGCCGTCTGGCTCTGCTTCTTCTTCTCTTCTGCAGTCAGGTCCACTCATTGGTGAGAGTCGCGGTGGTTTTGGAGACAACTTGCAGCCTGATTCTTTGTTCCTTCGTCCCCTGCATGACAGTTTGGGGAACCCCAGAGGAAGTGGGGGAAGTGCGAGTGGAGGACGGGGAGGGGTAGACCCCTTTGGTTTGGACTTCCAGCGCTCCAGTCTGGGGCTTCACTCTCTCGGGCGACCCTCGCGAGGGGCTGGAGGAGCAACCGCTGCCTCTCTGGGCTACCCAGGCTACAGGCGTATTGCTCCAAAGATGGCCACCAGCATGGGAGGAGAAGAAGGAGTAAGTGGTGTTCTTCAGGATTCCGCCTCTTCCTCCTCAAGTTTGGCAAGTCCTATGCTTCTCAATGAGAGTGGTGGGTATGAGATGAACAGTGGCAGGCCCACCTCCCTCCCCCCTCAGCTTACCAGAGCTTCAGCAGATGTCCTGTCCAAGTGCAAGAAGGCTCTGTCGGAGCACAACGTCTTGGTGGTCGAGGGAGCTCGGAAATATGCCTGTAAAATATGCTGCAAAACCTTCCTAACTCTGACTGACTGCAAGAAACACATTCGTGTCCACACAGGAGAGAAGCCCTACGCTTGTCTCAAGTGTGGAAAGCGTTTCAGCCAGTCTTCCCACCTATACAAGCATTCTAAGACCACATGTCTGCGCTGGCAGAATAGTAACATGTCCAATTCCCTGCTGTAGGACCGAGAGAGGGCAATAGAAAGAATAAATTGGGAATCAGAGTTGGGCTAAATTTAAAGTCCTTAAAAGT